AAATGGACGGAATGGTCATCCTGTTGATAGAACTTCGCCGGAGAGCAACCTGCTAGCGAGCGAGATACTTTTTATGGTGACCTTTATTTCTCAGCCGTTTGTAACGATTCTTCACGGAATGAGAAAAAGCTGGGATTTCAACGTCATTCGGGAAAACAGAGATTTCATAAAGTGGAAGTTGTAGGTCAGCATTTGATCTTGAAAAAATTGGTGAATTGATGTGAACGTGTACGGTCAATAGTATCCACTGCAAAAAACGTAAATATTTGTCTNCTCAGCCGTCTGTAACGATTCTTCACGGAATGAGAAAAAGCTGATATTTCAGTATCATTTGCAAAAACAGAAAGATTTCACAAAGTGGAATTTGTAGGTCAGCATTTGACGTCAAACAACCTAGTGAATTGATGTGAACGTGTACGGTCAATAGTATCCACTGCAAAAAACGTAAATATTTGTCTAATTTGGAAAGGCACGGCCGAAATTCAAAGGCCCCGCCAGGATTGGATGGATAGTGCTATCCATTGCCTTCTGTTTACCTTGATGGGTCTTTACCATGTTGGGTATCAAACCAGATGCATGACGTTATCTAGCTTCGAAATTTGAATTCGAATTTGATGCCTTATGATATTATTGATTCTCTTATCACTCTGGTAATACAGACTGTGATGTGTAACTCGCAGAAAGAGAATAACTGAAAATAAGTCTATTGCACTACATTTCCTCAAAATAAGTAGTATTAGGTGAAGCACAAAACTTTGGTCTATTTTTATGACTTTTTTTGTTTCAAGCCATGCCAAATAGATGGCTTGAGATGTTAATGGTGGGGTTCTGGCACAAGGTGACCAACTTTGAGCCCACACACATGGAAACTTCATTCTGGAAACATTGGTACGCTTTATTCAATTCCTCTATCAAATTCATGGAGTTATTTCGAGCGCACACACAAACTGCTTTGTTTGTAGTGGCCGCAATCTCTGACCGTTCCCTTACTTCAACCTGAAAATTAATTGTAAACATGCGTTGTTCAATAGAACAGAGAACAAAGTATAATAAGAGATACTGATCGGAGGTGTGTTTGTTGTGGTACGTATGTATGCCCACAGGCTAGCCTACTAAATTGACAACTTGGTATCATGTTTGTCTGCGTTCGATTCTCTTCCCCGATCATCCCTTCTTTTCAAACTTCAATCTTTTGGCACTCCAAAACAACTGATCTCATGGCTTGCTGACTATTTCACGCAGACGGTCCAGCGCACATCAAAACCTCTTATTAATAATTCTGGTGTTTTTCAAGGTGCTGTTCTATCTCCATATCTTTTATATGCCTTTTTTAGTGATCTTTCGTTCCCACCCCCTGCGCACATCCAAAAGTATGCTGATGACGTTGTTTTGTATCAGATAGTTTCATCTCCTTCAGAATTTCATTCTTTTACTGAAAACCTATCCCACATCCAACAGTTTTCTGACCAATCTGGTCTCAGTTTTAACTTATAAGAGGCGTAGATTGTGTTTCCAGTCTTTCCCGCTCCTCATTAACAATGGACTCTGCCACCCTTAACGGTGAACCTGTATCCAGAATGACATCAGTCAAGTACCTAGGTGTCACCGTCGATAGTAACCTTCGTTGGTCTAAACATATTTATAACTGTGTGGGAAAACTGAGACGCCTATCTTTTCAGTTATGCAAGCTCAGGCAATTTCGAGCCCCACAATCAGTCCTGTCATCTTTTGTTCATCAATGCGGTTTACCCATTCTACTTTTCTGCTCCCCTGTAGTGTCTTCCGGTCTTTTAGAACAAAACTTCAGAACAATTCGCTGTGGTTTGGTGATAATCAGTCGTTCATCACTAATCCCAATGGATTTATTAATCACGGAACTCGTTGATGGTCACATCAACTCTTGTTTTAAATTTGCTTACAAGAATCTTGATGACCCTCTTCATCCACTACACCCTGATCTATCGTCTTGTCGTTCCCATCGGTCCACACGCTCCTCATTTCGTCAGCTACCCTCTCGGTTTATCATTTATAAAAATTCCCCTGTACGCTACTTGGCCCGACTAGCTGCGAAAAAGGAACAGGTCTGAAAATGAACTACGTCAAACGGTTTTGCACATGAAACACCGACATCCTTTACCTTTCGTTTTGATTACTATTATTATTTCATTCTGCGTGACGAACAGTGTACAGTTTCAACTGAAATGTAAGCATATATGCTTGCACAAGTTATACAAATACAAATACAAATGTGATAAGCTAGTGCAAAACGTGGCATATCCGGACAACGATAACACCAACATGGATTCGGTTATGCAATTCAACTCGATAGTCTCTTCGTAAAACTTGATGTTTTTGTTATATTTACAAAATAATCGTTACTTTTTCAAGTGTCTTAGTTTAGGGTATTTGGGGTGATATCTGGATTAGCATTGCAACGAACTACCCATAGACGCTTTTAAACTGTTCTCTTTTGTTCCATAAAGCTACGGTGTCGCCCTAGTTCCCGCAAGTTCCGACACGGGATACATTAAGTGTCTTCGAGGTGGGACTACGATTGGTACGTTTTCGCATCGGTTCGAATTAATTTATTGCATATTTGTTCAGGAAATGAGAATATCACTTTCGTCGTGGAAACTCCCTATGGCAAGTAAGTTAACAACTAATTCTCCAGGTCAATGAGCAGTCATTGTTTTCATGTTCACGTGAAAAATTATAATTTTAAAAATAGGGTTTGTCGGTTTTAGTGANTTTAGTGAATGTTTTGATCGGCAAGCGACTGGCACATTTGTCTTATTTGCCTATAACCGGATTGGTTGATTGATCGATTTATGGCCAGATGCTGTCATTTAGCCCACACGCACGCACCGATGCCATGCGGACTGACTCTAATACAGTATCGATCAGCCTCAGCAAATAGGGTAGTATTGAACTGTCCTTACTGATTGATTCGTTCACTGTTTGAGCGCCTGCTCGACCGCATTCAGATGTCGCGTGACGTTTGAACCAGTTGTCTGCCTGCCTGCTTGCATTCCTGTCTTACTACGTGTTGCCGGTTCCATCTTGCTCACAGGTCTATGGACTGGCTACATGTGTCCGCTCTACAATAAACGTACTGCTTAATATTTTTATTACTGAAACATTTGGATCGCGTAATGAATTTGAACAGCCAGGTCAGAAGACAAACACTGCGAGAGGAATTCCTTTCGTATACTCTCATCGGTCGCGTACGTATAACATCGAACACGATAGACAAAT